CCAGGCACAGTCACGGTCACAAACACAAGGCACAGATCAATCGGTGTGATAGGTACGGCGTGGTGACATGATCAGCGTCTAGAAGTCCTGGTCGTCGTTTCCAGCAATGATGACGTTGTTGACCTGTGCGTTGGTGTCAGTAGTTATTTGCAACAAGGCCGTGATCCAGCGGTGAGGATAAACGGTGACACAAAGCGAAAAAAGGGAAGGGTGTGTTTGTTCGCGTGTAACGAGAACAATGCAGCCTGCATAAAGCGCACCCCCCGTGCGACGCTTTATCTTCGGCTTCCCCGCTTCCCCGGCCTTGCAATCGATCCAGAAGACGGACGCAAGGGAGGGAAAGTGAGCAAAGCGAGGTTGCACAGACGGGAGGGAAGCGGAAGGGATAGCGGGAAAGGGAGTCACACCAAGGGTGTGCGGTGCGACAAACGACAATTCGTTACGGAACAGGGGCGGGAAAGTTACGATACGTACCTTGAGTACCATACGGCACAGCTGTGTAGCGAGCAACAGTTGTTGCCGCTTCGAGATCAAGGGATCGATCACGAAGTGCTCCTTCATATCTGTGATAACGCCACGTTAGTACAATCTTCGGTAATTCAGCCACCAATGAGGCCCATGACGTTGTGCATAACAATGACAGCAAAGCAAAGGTCTCAGATGACTCCTGCTCATCTCCACTTGTAGTTGCGTTCATGCCAGCGCAGCAAGTGGCGTGGCGTGGGGTAATGCACCGTACCCCACGGGGGCATTGGATGCGGGAACTGAATGCGGGAACTGAATGCGGGAACTGAATGCGGGAACTTGGATGTATCACGGGTCTCGGGTCTCCCGGAGATAGTCCGTACTGCAGCTATGCTTGATAGCGGTGAGGCAGCCGGTAATCATAGAGACAGCCGTGGGGAGATGGTTGGATAACAAAGAGCGAAGTGCACTTACCGTTGCTTCCCGTCTGCATGCAGTCAACACCTAACCTGGTGTTTCCCTCCTTGGCTTGTCGGGACTTGATGTTGGCGAGGGTTTCGATGGGGCTAAGACCGGAGTTCTCAGCCAGCGCCATGGGGACGGCGTCAAGGGCATCGGCGAATGCGCGCATCGCGTATTGCTCGAGGCCAGGGCTCTGCGAAGTGTTAGTTGTTGTTATCGAGGAGCTCCGTAACGCTTACCTTGACTGCGGCATCCTCAACTGCGAGCGAGCATGCTACTTCCGCGGCTCCTCCACCGTATACGATACGGTTGTCGCGCACCAGGTTTCGGACGACACAGAGGGCATCGTGTAGTGACCGCTTGGCCTCGTCGATGATCATCTTGTTGCTACCGCGAACGAAGACGGTGACAGCCCTTGTGTTGGCACACTCCTCGATTACCAGCATCTTGTCGCGGGTGGTTCCGAAAGTCAGTTCCCGGACAATACCAGCCTTTCCGAGCTTCTCTGCGCTGAGGTCCTCGAAACGGGGTACGATGCGTCCGTTGGTTGCGATGGCGATCAGCTCGATTTCTGGGCCTCCTACCCACCGTACAGCGGGGAGCTTGTTTGTGAGGAGAAGATGGTTGGCCTCGTCGTCGAAACCCCACTGACATATTACTACGTTGGCGCCGGTGTTCTTGATCTGCTCAATCATCTCGGTGAACTTGTTTGACTCGTAGTTTTGTAGCTTCTTGAACTCCTCTACGGTGGTAATGTCCAACTTGTGCTTGGTCTTGGGCTTCGGTGGCTCGAACGCGCATGTGAGGATGGCGAGTTTGGCGTCCTTGACCTCCGACGGCATCTGGGGATGCGAAAAGTCCTTGTCTATTATGACACCCTTGACAAGTAATGTGTCTTCGAGCGATCCACCGACCTTGCCGTCAACCTTGATGAGCTCGAAATCGACGTCTTTCCGCTCGAGATCTGCGACCGAAAGCACAGCATCTACGGCGATTTTGGCGAACTGGTCGTGCGCCTTGGAAACGATCTTGCTGCCCAAACTTGTCTTTGCGACCTTGAATAGCTCTTCGGTGTTGTCCTTGGAGAAGTGGATCTCGTCGCTGACCTCGTCGAGCTTGGCCACGGCAACCTCGCAAGCCTGGTCGTACCCGTCTGCTATCCTGATGGGGTGGATGCCCTTGTCGATAAGGTCTGCTGCCTGCTCGAGAAGCGCGCCCGCCAAGACTACGACACCAGTTGTTCCGTCACCAATCTCGTCGTCTTGTGATTTGGATAGTTCGACTAGTAGCTTCGCGACGTGGTTGGAGATTTCCATCTGGGAAAGAATGGTGGCGCCGTCGTTTGTGACTGTGATGTCTCCGTCGGGTGAAATCAGGATCTTGTCCAGTCCTCGGGGTCCCTAGTTTCATAAGTTTATGTCCTACTTCCTTCCACTAGAGCGGTGCTGCGTACCAGAGAGCTCTTGACGATGTTCGCGACCGTCTTGGCCGCGAGGATGTGGGACTTGACCGCATCGTTGCCGTGTTGCCTCTGCTTCTTGCCTTGACTGCCCCAGACATTAGCTGCTGCCTCTTACTGAGCCTTAAGCCCTTTCCATATCATTCCACGTACTCTCTGACAATGATGAATGGCCTGCCCGATTCATCCTTCATCACCTGCGCTATACCCCACTTTGTCAGTCGTGAATTCGCGGTCGATTGGTAGTAGATTCGGACGCATACCGTTGGAAAGGTCGACCTCTGTAATTATATAACGTTAGCGTATGCATCTCACTACTGAGGGTTTGGGAGTTCGGAGCTGTTGCTGCCCGCACTTACGCATCTTTGCGGTGTGAAAATGCCCGCTGAAGTAACAAATGCACGACTCCGAAGAAGTATCAAACTACAGGTACACACTAGGAGGGAGTCCCAGGTATGTTTGGTAGTGAGGGGTGGTGGGGTATAGCCAAACAGCTGCCATGTCGGTCTTGAAATTTCCCCAGAAGGGCTTGGCATCAGGGTGCACGGCCGCGAGTCGCGAACGCGCCGTCCGCCAGCTCCAACTCTCCGATCTGCCCTGACGCTTGCTGCCCCGAGCTGCCACCACACCCATCCCCAGCGCATCGCGGCCTTCCAATCGCGCTTGTACGAATCGCCTCAAGCTCCACGAAGATTGACGTCTCCGCCATATCCATTCTCCATTTCTAGCGACCGCGTTTCGACATGCCTCGTGAGTCGCGCCCGCCCGCCCAAACAACCACCATACGCGTAATATCCAGCTGCTAAGGTGCGCAGCTGCTCTTAGCGATCACGGGTCCTCGGACGCCGAAGACGTCCCCGCGCAGCCAAGAAAGGGAAAGGGAAAGCAGCCGGTGCAGGAGGATCCCATAGACGACGAAGAGGACGAGGATGACAGTGAGGTGGGAGAGGACGAGTACGCGCAAATTCATATGTACATGGATCGCATCGTGCTGACAATGCGACAGATACGTCGTTGAGGCGATTCACGGCCACAGATTCACAAAGGTGCGCGCAAACACCACCTCTTTCCCACGCGCAAACACTGACAACATCAGGGCGTCCTCCAATTCGACGTGAAATGGGAAGGCTACGACGACCCCAAGGACCGGACATGGGAGGCAGAGGAGAACATGTTCGTTGTGGCATTGCTCTGTACTAGGTTGAGACTGACAGTCGCAGGGAGGGAGCCATTGATGTGCTGAACGAGTACTTTAAGAAGATCGGAGGCCGACCACAACTCAAGGGCCAGAAGCGGAAGGGACGACCATCGACCGCCAGCATCAAATCCGAGTCTGGCACCCCGTCATCCTCCACGAAGCGCGCCAAGGCAGACAAGCCAGAGAAGAAAGTGGTAGAATGGAGCCCACCACCAGGCTCATGGGAACACGACGTCGACCACATCGACACGGTGGAGCAAACGAAGGACCCCAAGACGGGCCAACTGGAGAAGTTTGCATACTTGGTGTGGACAAATAAGCAAAAGACACAGCACCCTCTCAAGCACGTCTACCAAAAGTGTCCACAAAAAGTGCGTCAAAACATGTTTTCTGGATATCATTCACCATACTAACATCTCGCAGATGCTCGAATACTACGAAAGCCACCTAGTCTTCACCGAGAACGTGGACGAGCCTCTAAACGGTGACGACACCAACGACACAGTGATGAACGGCGACTAATCCGCTTAAGTCGAGTAGTACCCGAAACCGAAATTGCCGATCAAGATATTCCCTTCCGGTGAAGTTCGATTCGACTTCGCCCCGGCGATGCCATACGCGAAGATGCTACCCAAAAACTTCCGTTCCCCGACATGGTCACCCATCACACCTCTTCTATCGTTCCTCCAGTCGCCGACCGTATCTCCCACCACACCTCCTCCACCTTTGCGCAAACCACCAACCGTGTCCCGGTTGATACCCACGGAGCAGTTTTCATCTTCCAATCCTCTGATGCGCTTGGGGGCTGGGGAGGACCCTGATCAGCTGCAAAAGGGTACACATGTGTCTGCTGGGTATGGCGTATAGGCACTGAATGTATTATAAGAACTTCTTTGGGTAGGTACGGAAAGGGAATACTGGAGTATCAAGGCTTCGTTCAAGCGGTTCCAGTATGGCATTGTGTATCTGGTATCGTTCAAAATTTACAACGTTTATACATACGCCCAAGATATGACCTACAACGCCCAGTGAACATGATCGCGTGCCTTGCAAGTCCATGTCAGCACACCATTGTGGTTGGCATGCGCTTTTCCTGTACTAAATTCTCTCTCCCAAGTTGTGACCAGAGGCTCAAGTCAAATCAAGTCGAAATAGTTCACAGACGAGGCAATCAAGAGAAATGGTTTTAAGTAACTTTGAGTATGTGATTCGTTCCGTTCCATGCGCAATTGTATATACAAACATAACAATAAGCTCCGTAATAACGTTGCGGGTATCCCAATTCGGCCCATGCCAATCTAATATGGCTTCTTCAATCGCATTATCTCGTTCTCGCGTACAATAAAATTCCGCGCCGCAAGTCGCATAGCCATGCAACTGCCTATAACGCCGGTGTAAATGCGAACCACATCGTCCTTATCTTCGGTGATGTGTTGTCTTGTGTTGTACTGTAGTCATAGCGTCGTAAAAATGTCTCTTTTGCTCCTGCTTTCTCTTGTTGTATCGTTTCTCCGTACTGTGTTGTGTTTTGTGGTGTGGTTTGGTGTGATGTGATGTGGTGAGGCGTCTACACGTTCTCAGTCATATCCGAAACAGACGACGCAGTGCCGCCGACAGCCATGCGCGTCTGCAGGTAGTAGATGAGGTATGCGATGGCGGCGATGAGGATGAAGAGGATGAGGATGATGAGGAAGATGACGATGTTGCGCTGCATGGTTGCGGTTGTGGGTGGTGGAACGAGGGGGTCTCGTCGGTTGGAGTGGTTGAGGTGGAGGTGGTGGTGGTGGTAGTTGGTGTTGGAACGGGTGATGCGATGCGATAGTCTTCTGTAGTAAAGTCAGTAAATCGTCCTTTCGTAAACAGAGTAATAATTGTATGCGCACTGTAATCTCAGCGCAAACAATCAATGGTTTTGTATAACGCGGTCGTGGTGGTGTCCAAGCTCGCTATCGTCCAAGCAACACTCAGTAGTCAAGCGATGGTATCCTGGAAGCAATCGAATGACCAAGGATAGCGATAGTAAAATTGTAGTACGAAGGAACTCGAAAAGTGCGATGGAGTGTGAGGGGAATGAGTTAATAATATCAGCGAGGAAATCTGCAAGCCAATTCGTAGTCCATTCTGCAGGTGGCATGCAGGCACTTTTGTACAGACGTGGCGGGGTGCGTGCGCCGCGTGGGTGGTTGGGTCGCGTCCATGGGCCGAGGGGCTGGAATGCTAGTTTGACGTGGCTGGGATGCCGGCGTTACTGGCGGTGAGGCTGGGCTTGAAACAATGGTTGACGGAATTGATTTAATTGAGTACGTGGTGATGCGTTTGTTGAGGGAAGCTTGTTTTTGCAAATTGATTCAGGGTAATGAGGTGAGGTTTGTATTGGTGATGGGGGAATGGGAATGGGAAGGCGCGCGGTCAGGTGTTCTGGGTCTTGGCGCGTTCGGGGCGGGAGAGCGATCTGACTGCTCGGCCTTGCGGCGACTTCACCACCACCTTTGTGACTTCATGATGAGCTGTATCATCGTCGCTGCCAATTATGCGCTTACTACGAGTCAATATTGCATTACTCTTAACTTCGCGCGATAGTCGCAGTAGGTATGTAGTGATAGACCAACTAAAACAAGCACCTCGAATACTCCTGCAAACCAATCAAAAGTTCGAATGCTAGGTAAATCCTCAATAAAATCAATCGCTTTTGGTGGGACCTTTATCCCAGGCTTGGAGCCTATCGTCAGACTTTTCGCACTACCTCAAGTGATGGCACCTTCTTGCTCTAGGGCACATCGACGAAATAATCTTCCGCCATCAGGGTCTTCTTACGACGTTCTTTGAGCGACAGTAGAGATCCTTCGAGGAACTTGTCCCGGAATGCGTCGGATGATCTGAGCAAATCGGACCACGGTTCCAATTCCTCTTGATCAACTACAGCCGAGTCGCCCCAATTTCGAATGATAGTTACGCCTAGCGCCCGCTCCAGTGGTCCCTTGTCTCTCCATTCTTCCCTAGAGGCGAGACTTCCGATGAACCAGTAGCGGCCTACTTTTCGACCGTATTTATACAAGGCTGGTGTGAGTAACGGTCTTTTGGAAGGGCGTGAGAAAGCGGCGAACAGGCGTCTCATAGCATAGTTCTGGAAGCTGGGTACTCTCAGCTCTTTACCCAAAGCCCAAGCTAGTACCGCAGCCTTGGCTGTCCACTCCATGGTGTCTTTTTCGTAAGAGTTGCACATGTCCAGGCGCGGAGTTTTGGTAACGCTGTCCAATTTCCCGACTGGGCCACTCTGCTCAGTGTATCTTCCAGTGTAGAGCCATTGTACGAACAGACCAAGTACCTCGGGGCAGTTCCTTTCGTCAAGCAACAATAATTTCGGTGTGGTTTTAGGTTCACGCTGACGGTAGACAGGGCGGTGGCCACTGCGACAGACGGATTCAAACTTCTCACGGGGCAGGAAGATGGAACCGATGTTGGCGTCATAGGAACTCAGGCATATCTTGATAACTTCATGCTCTCGTTGTGCACTGTCAAAGATGGTCAGTGGAGTGTACTTCAAGCAAGAACGTAACCACTCACAAAGCGACCAGATGTTCTCCTAGTGGGCAATCATCCAGCGCCGGCGGTTCATTTCCTGTAGCCGACATCTCCGCGTGGGATCTCTTGGGTGGCATACTGTTGCCTGACTCTGATGTTGATCCGATCGCAGAGGTAGGGAGAGATGGAGTGTGGAAATCAGGAGAAATACCAAAGGCTTTAAGTATACAATTACTTGCAGTCCACGGTCTCTTACCTGCTCTTAGAGGTGGGGACTCCCAAAGAGTGAGAGAGATGACTTCTCAATCTTACCCGGTCGCTGAAATTTCGCCATGCGAGGCCTGGTGGTCGGCATTCACCTTGTGAACGAGACAACCTCACCTGAGAGACGGGAACACCGCTTCGCTCATCGCCGCCTTCACCGCATGCACATATTCTAGGCTTTTCATATATTCGCTACCTTCTTCTCCTGAACTCCGCTTCCGAGCCGCCCGTCTTGGCTACTAGTTCCTTTCCAGCCTAGGTCTTCGTCTATGCGCTGTAGTCTTGCGTAGCATCTTTCTCGATAAAGCTATCAATCACACTTGCCATATAAAGAGCCGGTAGCCAAGACATGTATTGTAACCCGCTTCCGGAATCTCTTTTTGCCTTCCCTCAATGACCCATCGTTCCATCAGCCATGAACGTCGAACGCTGCATCAGCCTTCACAACGAAATCGTACGACATGGCTGGGTCGGCTCAGGCCGGTCTCCAGACACACTCGCCTCGCATAGCAAATCCTGGTTCCAAGTATTTGGCGATGAAGCTGAAGCCGAACGATCAAATCTCTCGCCCGGTCTCATTCAATTCCTCGAGCAAGTCCAGATTCCGCGCGTAGAAGAGGAAGGACTCTACCCCGAGTTTTGTTACTGGGTTCAGGGCCTGTCTCATCCCGAGTACATGTTCGAGTTTGAAGATATGTTGTGGGATTACGACTACAAGAATGATAAGGACGAGGAGGGGAATGGTGAGGAGGAGGAGGGGGAAGGTGATGAGGAAGAGGAAGAAATCGAGGAAGATCAAGGCGATGAGGAAGGGGAAGGTATCGAGGAAGATCAAGGTGACGAGGAGGAAGAAGGTGATGAGGGAAGGCGCTTAGTCCTGTATGCTGCGGCTCATTTTGATACAGGGCATATCTGTGGGTTGATGTAAGAGACTTCATGTTGCTGTTCTACCGGAACAACGAGCTTACAAAGACAGATATGACCAGAAGACCAATCTTTGTACTCTCAGTCTCACTATATACGACACCGACGATATCAGTACTCAGAGGTGGTACCCATTAGAGGCCGTACTTACCTTCTGGCTCTCTCAGATCCGTAACGAGACCATCCAGGCCGCACCGGAAAAAGGAGGGAGACTTCGAGAAGAGTGGCCTGAAGTATTCGACGAGTACTGGGAACATGCGCCTTGGGTCTTCGTGCCGTACAATGAGAATATGCTCAAGCACAACCTCGATGTGTGGGAGAAGCTCGTTGACGCGATTGAGAGCCGCATGCCTGCAGCCAGTAGATCACAAGCAGCCGACCCACCTGCATATGGCCTGTTGGACGACAACATACGTGACAAAATAGACCTCCCTCAGCGATTCGCATACAACTTCCTCTTCCGCGCCCGCCGACCTCGCTTCAAGATGATAGCTCCCGGTCTCCGCATTATCACATCCGCAGACTTTTCGGACCAACCCTTCCGCTCCTACATGTCCAAAGACAAAGAAGAAGTGCCACCCATCTTGCTCTTCCAGTCCGATCTCAACTTCGCGGAAGACTCATCCTGGACTCCGCAAATTCCAGACGACGCCACGGTACCGAACTTCTTCGACTACCGCGATATCAAGACTTATCCCTCTGGCTTATACCTACTGCCTACTAATCACAGGAGTCTGGAAGATAGAATCTCATTCGTCTTGCCGTACGCTATTGGTAGGAAAGGGTTTGCGAGGCGAGGCGATGGAACAGATCTCGCGGGTGGAGAGGATTGGCGTGGGAAAGATAGCTTCACAGAGTTGTATCAGCCTGGAAGACGGGCGCTTGAAGATTTCCAGGCGCAGAGTCTGGCAGGGGTATTGGAGAGTTGGCTGGGTATGGTGGAGAGGGGGGATTGGGAAGTCGATGAGAATGGGGTGGTGGGTGGTATGGAGACTTGGAGGGAAGCTGATACGGAGGAGGGATGGAGGAAGTATGTTATATCGAGTAAAGAGCCATCTGGTAGCGATTGGAAACTGGTGTAGATAGGGAGAGGCGTCATTTTAAGGCAGAGAGGCTTCAATAACAACGTCCAACGCGTCTTCATGACTCCAAATACCCTCACTCTTGAGCCCCACCGACTCGAGTAGTTCGCGAAACTGCGATTCGGTTCGCTCTTGACCAGAAAGTGACTGCATGACATTGACATCCATGGCCGTAAATGCCCACGGTGCGTTTCGATCGGGTATGAGAAGCTCTTTGATGAGAAGCTTGGAGTACCCGGGCTTCATAGCTGGGACGATATTGCGCAGGATGCGGCGACATGCGTCATCGCTACTGAAGTCATGGAGAACGTGTTGGAGCATGTATGCTCTCGCGCCTTTGAAGAACCGTTAGTGCCTTATACGTAGGATCGTGATGCCACCGTAGAGACGTACCTTTGATCGGCTGAACCTCATTCCAGTCCCCAACATGTGCTTCAAATCCATCTTGCTCACTCCGATCAACAATATGCTTCAACTCCTGCAGCACGAGTCGACCTTTGAAATCCTCCCCAAGCGCTTTCCTCAACAGACCCAGATCACCCGCATCGCCGCCTTCAATGTCAACGAGTAGCACCTCCTCGTCAGACACAGGTCCACCTTCCACTAAACGCTCTCTGAACGGGTAGTACCCATCTTCCCAAAAGAAAGGTTTACCAGCGTTGTACATCTGAATCATTCCGCCGAATCGCTCCCCCATCGCTGCGTCTTCGTTGAAATACGTGTAAAGCGATTTGTTGGAAAAGCCATGGGCGTGTTGAAATGGACCGTTGTTGATATTGGATGGGTTGCAGTGAGAGATTGAGTCAAGGAATGAGGGGACGCGCCAGCCTACGTTGTAGAAGTCGTCGAACCTGTTGTGGGTGTGGTATGAGTATTGAGACGTATGTATGTGCGTGAGAGTATGAGTTTGGGGCTTACATGAAGTGCACAGCATTTTTGAATGACTTTTGTCTCAAAGAAGCTGAGAGGCGAGTGCTTGCGTAGGCATCATGATCGACTTCGCGGATCGTGCCGTTTGCTGCTAGATGGCGTAGGAAGCGTGCTGTACGTTCTTCATTAGTATCACTTCATGAGACAAAGATTTCCAGTCCCTCCAAATAGTTCCGCATGCCAATCTTGAGGGCATTTGTTATAGTTTGCGATAGTGCACACATACCAACCAACCTTGCATCCGCCCCCGCACCCTCAGCAATCCGCTCACACGACACCTCCTTCTCCCCAACATCACCCAACGCTTCGAAAACTCCCCATTGCAAAGCGAGTCGAATAGCGAGATAATGTCCAGGCTGAATGCATTCCGTCCGTGGTTAGCGCTAATCGACCAAATGCAGTAGCCACAACCCCGCAAACCCAGCAAGACCACCACGACCCAGGAGACGTACCTCATTAAACGTCACCCGGAAGACAGCTTCATCCGGTCTTTCCAACTCGTTTTTGAGCGCTTCGGCTAGACCGCTGAGTTGGAGGCGCTCGGTGTTGCTGAGTTGAGCGCGGAGGGTTGGGGCGGCGGCTAGGAGGGTTTTGAGTTGGGAGAGGGCGTTGGACTCCATGATATGCGGATGGTAAAGAAGGAGAGTAAGTTTCGTGAGTAGATTTGACTGACGTTGACGATGATACGGCATCTATGATAGATATGCCGGCAGAATGCAAGTAGCCAAGAAGGCGTATCGCGCCTGCCATTCCAGGTCAAGCGCGGGAAGGCAGGAACGGTGGGGTGCATGATTTTGCTCATATGCGCCAGGGGTATACTTGGGAGGCTGACGACGTTTGTATGGTGACCTTGATGAGTTGAAGAGAATGTGATGGTGGGCTCGCTGATCTGGATTGACAATTTCACATGGGCATCGTCTACACCCCGCCCACTAGGCTCGCGATCTTTCCCTTCTTTCTCTCCAACCGTGCCCTGTCCATCTTCCATTGACCCCAGCAGCATGCCAATCCAAAGATTATTGAGCCTCTGGGAGGAGGAAACCGTCCGTAGAGGGCTCGCATCTGGGAATGACCGAAGAGTCTAGCTAGCAGCATCGTCGGTTACTTCTGAAAGGGATAAGTTGTCAGTGAAATTTCCCGCATCTATACAAGCTAGTTGTACCTTTTTTGAGTAACGTCGGGCCGTAGACAGGGATGAGAAGCAGTTGTGTAATGTAGGTTGATGAACGGCCAAGTCGTCGTTGTTGAAGAGTGAAAGCAACGCCGTTTGATGTCGTTTGTGGTGGAGAGAAGCGAGCAGTGAATATCGTACGCGGCGACATATATATGGTGAAAGAAATGTTTGGCTGTATATGCGTGACGTGGTAGCGATAGAACGTAGCCGTGGTTGTGAAGAGTTAGACCCACCTCATGTGTGTGGTACCACCTTGACTCAGCTCCTGAACTCAAAAACATCATGCCATGACCATATACATTAACAAAAAAGGGTATATACAACCACTTCGCGCACTTCGCGTGCTTCCAACTTCCCACCCTCCCATCTTTGCGTCCAAGAGTAGCTCAACACTATACAAAAGCTCGCATCTCAGTCGCAGTTCCCACAAACAAACACCAAAAACGCCATTCTTTTCCTGAATCTACCCATCCACCCCATCTCATCCCTTTAACCCATCTCAACCCTCTCACTGATAAAACCTCCACTTAACCTCCTTACACGCCCACTCCTTCTTAATCCCATTAATCCTCTCAACCTCCCACCCGCTCGTCCACTCCTCATCCCCCACCTTCCCACCCAGCCGAATGACCTTGCTGAGATGGCACTCTCCCTCCCCCTTCGCCGTATACCGCCATTGCAGACAGTCTTCGACTTCTGAACATACGGTCTGGCAGCGCTCGAAGCTGTCGGCTGCATCAGGGTGCTTTTCTGCCAGCTTATC